AAGATTGCATCCACCAACTGCTCTCATTCCTCCCAGATTATCAAGATCAAGATTGGACGTGAGAGGCTACACTATTCCAGCTAAAACGACTGTGTACATCAATGCGTGGGCAATTCAAAGAGACGCAGAGTTCTGGGAAAGACCAGAAGAGTTCATTCCTGAGAGATTTGAGAAGAATGGTGTGGATTTCAAAGGACAAGACTTCAATTTCATACCGTTTGGTTCAGGAAGAAGAGGGTGTCCTGGGATGATGTTTGGTGTTGCCGCTGTGGAATCCCTGCTTGCTAATCTCTTGTATTGGTTTGACTGGAAGCTTCCCGTTGTAAATGGTGCCACTGTTCAACGCATTGACATGGAGGAGACATTTGGGCTCACTGTCAGCAAAAAGATGCCACTTTATCTCAAACCAATACCCTACTCAAAAAGTTCAGAACTAGCTAGATATACCGTATAATCAAGGGAGAATGACATGTAGGTATAAGAAGATCAATGAATTTAACTTAAATTTCATGTGCTAAATTACAAGCACTTGTAAGCTTTTTTTTCATTTTATAACTGTGATAAATTTATAATTTATTTTAAAAAATAAGTTTTAAATTTGTTATAATAAAATTATAAAATTAAAAATTAAACTTATAAATTTTTAAAAGATAATATTTAAAATTTAAGTTGAATTAAGTAGTTATGTTAAACCCCTCAATCATTGTCCCTGTGGTTGAAGCATAATGGACCGATGCTTTATTTGATCAGTGTGTTTTTACTTTTTTATTTTCTATGGTACTGTTGTTGAATATGTGTTGTAGATTGATTGGTGGGTGAGATCAGTAGGTGGTTGAATTGGACAAATGCATCATTCTCAGGTTGATTAATTATAAAATTAAAATTCAAAAAAAATTATAAAATTAAAATAGGACAAGAGATAGGATTGGCGTTCGTGGGTCGGCAAGGGCAACTTAAATTCCAATACTAGATCCTGTCTTATTTGCAAGATATTTTTAAAAAAAATTTTTTATTTAAAATATAAGATATTTTGTAATAATTAAAATATTTTTTAATTTTATTCTTTTTTATAAGTTTAAAGATATTTAATATAGTTATATTATAAATTAAAGTTAAAAGTAAAAATAAAATTACATATCAGTTGCTTATGATATAAAAAACTAACTTTTTTAAAATGAGTGAAATAATTAAAATTATCTTACAATAAAAACAGAGAGAGCATATTACTATTGTTGATTTAGGTTGTATATATTGACTTTAATATAAATTGGTGGCCAAAGATGACAAGTCCACCTCACCTTTATAGAACTATTTAGGTGTGTTCATCATTGTACCTATCCCCGATCAACTCATTTTTATTTTGATCAAGTCAAGATGGATTTGTTTTGATGCAAAATAAAATGAGATAAGACTTTGCGAGACAGGATAAAAATATATTCAAGATGAGATAGGACATAAAATCATCATATGAACATTCCGTCTCATCCCAAATATATTGTTATTTTGTTGTTTCTTTTATTAATGTTTAATAATTATTTGTTCAATTAGAGTTAGAGTGTATATATGTTGTCTATTTTATTTTTTATATAACCATCTACTCACTTAAGTTATGTAACCCAATGATTTTGTTTTTTTTTATAGTACTTATAGTCTAGAGGTCATTTGTGGTTGTTATAATTGTATTTTTGATTTTAATCTAAATTGTAGTTAGTTATAATTCAATGATTAAATTTATATACTCATATTGTTTTGATCTTGAACTTAACAATATATGTAATATAATAAATATTATCTAGGTTTCACTTCCATATTTTGTTTGTTTTATTAGGATGTCTTAGTCCCATCTTATTCCCAAACAAAACGAGATGACTTGGGATGAGCTGTCTTGATCTCGTGTTATCCCATGAGCACTCCTAGAATCATGAGCATAAGCTTGTTGATTGGTAATCAAACCCCCAATAATAGAAGGATGGTCAAGGTATGTTGGGTATGCAGGCTTATATAGCACTATACCTTGCTTGATGTTAAAAAAAGTGGTAGATGTACTACTAAGCAGTTGGTTCAAGTGACAAGAGATTGTACCAATTAACTTGTTATCTTGAATTGGAGTAATAAAAATGTGAAATGTGACTTTGGTAATAAATTTTGGAGTTAATAAGTATCTTGAACTCTAAACTTTTAAAATAAGCAAAAACTTTTCTCAACTTGTAAATTTCGAGCAAATTATTCCTTACCGCTTATCTGTACAATATTGACCATTATATAACCCAGTTAGCATGTCACGTGTTAAGAGGGAATTAGTGATACGTCAACCTTTAATTGGATCACACAAAGTAAAAAGTAATAGTGGTTATATGTAACTTAATGACGAAGGATAATTTGCTTAGAATTTATAAGTTAAGAAAAGTTTTTACTCATTTTAAAAATTTAAAATCTAGAATGCTATTTAAATGATAATTTAAAATTTAAAATACTCATCATTCCTAAATTTTGCGGTCCGTATCTCAACTTGAACTAAATTGGTTTGGGCAAACTCCACTTAAGATAGAGCAGCTAGGCCAAGAATGCCTAGCGTACGAGGCCCAAAAAAGGGGGCTGGATACGGAAAATCGTTTCTGTGAATCATCAACCAATGTTTTGGTGATAGGGTACATGTTTTCTGGGGCAAAATACATATTGGTCCAATATTATCAATTTTAAAATTTAGTTTGTGTGTGAAAAAAATGTAGACATAGTTTAAATTGATAAATTAAGGTTGATAAGTTTTTTTTTTTTTTGGATTCAATCAGTTACTATAGCTGAATTTTAAACTTTAAATTAATTAAAGTGTTGATTATATAGAATTTGGTTTTAAAATTAATGAGGATTTTTTTTTTCACAGTTTCACAATTATTGAAAATGCTGGCTAAAGTTGAATAATGTTCCTAAGTTTTCTTTTAAAAAAATTAGTAAGTGTTTGGAGCTTCTTAAATTATTACTACCTCCGCCATATTTTATAAGATATTTTTTTAAAAGTAATTTGATGCTCCATAATATATAATGTCTTGCAAAAAAAAAAAGATTCATTATTAATTAATGAATCTTATTTCAAAATTACCCCTCATTATTTTACTTCTTAAATATTTTTCTTTTTCTCTCTTATTAAGAGAAGGGTATATTTAACAGTTTATATTTTTTAAAATGAAATAAAAATTTTAAAATATATTTAATTGAATTTTTTGTTTTATTGCTCAATGCACTCTCCCAGTGGAGATTCAAACCTTGATTCATGAAGTTACAAGAAATTAACCTCTTCTACTAGACTCAACTTTCATTAGTAACATGTATTCAATTGACTTTGTTGGTATTCATAATTCATAATTTTACTAAAAAAACATCTCATAAAATAGGGTTAAAGGAGGTATTTTTCTATCCTAATATTTTTCCACTTAATTAATTGAAGCGAAATATATCTTTTACCAAAAATAGAAAGGAAAAGGGTCAAAACAATAAAAGATCGTTAATAAAAATAATAATATATACTTGAGATAAATTAGAAGAAATTTGATAATAAAAACCAATCAACAAGTAGAAATCAATTAATGCTCCTCTATTAAGTATATGACTTTTTTTAATTATTCAGAGCACATGTATACGCATATATATGTTTTTTTTTTACCAACATATATATGCATAATATATAGTATAAACGACTGTATGGCTGTCTTACCAATAATTAATAAAATCACCATTTACCAACGCATGTTGGCTCTTACAGTAACAAATTCAGATTTAACAACATGGGGAGCAAAAGTTAAAGCCATCAAGAATACGGAGGCAGAAACTAATTTTCACACTTTTTACAAGAAAATTTAAAAATAAAAAATATAAAGTAGCGTTATAATATATATATATATATATATATTTTTGCCCCGGGGTGGGGGGTGCTGGTGTTGTGGATCGTGCATTCCTCACTGGCCTCATATGAAAGGGGTCTAAGTCTTTAACCAGTAGCTCTTGGGTTTGATTCGTGGGAGCTACGGCAGTGAAGATGGGAGACAGAAGAAGAAAATCTGTGTCAACAAATTTCGTTGCCCGAGAAGCGTTCAATCGTTCAAGAACGTCAGAGAAGAAGAATCTTGGAGTTAGTGAATAAGAGACGTGATATGTCCTCGAGTAGTGCAATTCTGTGAATCTCAGCGAGTTGCTGATTGCTAATTCTAATGATATCGTGTGTAAGTGTGTTCTTGGGGACAAGTTCAACACGGAAGGCGAATATATGGATTGGAGAGCTAGCGAGGAAGGTGATGATTAACCTTATGGCCAAGGCTGTGGCTCATGTTAGGCCAATAAGGCCACTGACTCAGGTCTCAAAAAAAGTCTACTTGTACCTCATACAGTCAGTTATTGTTTTTCTTGTTAAGTATTAATGTTAATTATATTTTTTTCATTTAAAAATGTAAAATATTTTTAATTAAATTTTACCTTTTAATAAAATAATTATCTATTTTTAAACTAACCATATCTTTTTATATTTACCTCTGTTAAATACCTTAAAATCATTATCAATAGGGATATTTTGAAGAAAAGATAATGATTATACCTCAAAAGACTAAAAATACCTTATATTTTTTAATATCCAACTTCTCAAAAAATGTCTTATATTTTTGAACGGAAGGAGTATATCTTATATAATTAGTCAATTTTTTTATTACTTATAAAATATTATTGACAATATCAGTAACAATTGCTAACTGCTACTGTTCTAAAAAGTTTTTTCAAATTAAAATTATTTAAATTTTATTTGAGATCAATCATGTTATAAAATAAATTAAATGAATTAGCTATATTATTTATTGAAAATAAAATATTAGAATTACTTAATTATAAATATTTAATATTTAATTTTATTGTTCAAAAAGCTAGAAAAATAATATGAATATATGTAAATAATATATTAGGCCTCTTAGATAATGTCATCTTAGTTCCCAAAACCTCTTCACTCGGCCTGCTTACGGCCTTCAGCGTGTGGGAGATTATTTCTCTTCCTTTGGTTGGCTTGACTTTTTCACTGGTCTGTCATTGCAAGTTTAAAGGCCATTTTCAGAGAGTGAGATGATTTCTTTGAAGATGTCATTGAAGAATCCAGGACCATGATGGAGAACAGAAGCAGTGTCCGATATACCAAAAAGAAAAGCTTGCTGCATATTCTTCTTCATCTCCATGACGATGGCAAGTTTGACAATAGTTTCTCCCAAAACGACCTCAAATCAATCCTCATGGTCTCTCTCTATCTCTCTGTCATTTTATTCTGATATTTGATTCCTAGGTTTATATTAACGGAAGAAATGATTCATTGTGATAGACTAAAAATTCTTCACCCGGTGTAGGATATGCTTGTGGGAGGAAGCGACATAAGTTCAGCAACAATGGAGTGGGCCATGGTGGAGCTGGTGAAGAATCCAACAAAAATGCAGAAAGCAAAGGAAGAGTTAAGGCACGTGGTGGGGAACAAGTCAAAGCGTAGAAGAGCAAGACATAAGCCAAATGAATTACTTAAAATGTTTGGTCAAAGAATTCTGAGATTGCATCTACCTACTCGCCTGCTGGCTCCTCGAGTACCAAGATCAGACGTGAATATCGGAGGTGTACTATTCAAGCCAAAACAATCCACTGAGCAATAGTACTTACTTGAAAGGTTTTGCGATGATTTTCGAATGATTTTTCTGAGATCTCAACCATTTTAAAATATTTATTTGATACTTTTCCAAATATTAACATTAGGATAGTTTAGAGGTTTGAAAAATATGATGTTGTTCGTTCTAATTTCAAAGCTAAAACAACTGAAAAATGATATAGATATATATTTATCTCCTGAGGATTTAAAATTATTGTGAGAGAGCAATGTTAAGGTATGTGATTAATATTGAGAAGATGTTTTGCTAACACAAAGTAATGGTCTTTATTATAAGATGTTGGACAAAACGTTGAAATAAACTTTTCATCTTATCCTAAGAAAGCATTGCACATATTATAATTAGGTGGCAGTATTATATTTCTTCTTCATCTCCATTTTTATTGATAAGATATAATGAAAAGTTGGAATAAAAGTTAACAAAAGAAGAAACGTAATAAATTTTCTTAAATTATGTAAATGATATCCTAAATGCCATATAAATAAGACCAGATAAAAACAAATGGGCTAACCCAACATATTTAGGCCCATATGCACTTGACCGACCCATTTTTGAGTCAAAATGGCCTACTATGGGCATGGGCTGAATTTTCCGACTTGTGCTCAAAATAGGCTGCAGCCTGTAGGTTATCCCATAAGTTAGTTTTCCTCGTGTTTTCAACCAATGCTCAACCCTACGGCATGATTATGATTGAACAAAAAAACTTAAATAGTTCTTTCATAATTTGAGCATTCCTTAATTTCTTCGTTTTTTTTAAAGAATGTAAATATATATCCTAGAGCTAATTTTGTACTCCATTTATAAAAAAAAATATTGCTTTTATGGGATAGTATTCATAATAAAAATTGGGTTCCATATACTACATCAAAACTACAAAAGTAACTCACACCATAATTTTAGCAAATCCTTGCTAGAATTTACCATACTTTAAAATAATAATTGTCATACTTGTGTTGCACGACTATAAAAAAAGAAACAAATGATAGTTATTTTAGCTCATAAATAATAATTAATAACTTTTATTTATGTGGTTGACATTTAAAGTTCTCCTAATAAATGATAATTATATAACCATTATTTAAAATATAATTTTTAAGTGTCTAAGCTATCAACAAAAAAAATAAATGAAGAATAACTATTTTACTCATCATTTATTATCACTATAAATTATGGGTAAATTATTTACCCACTATTTATTTTGGTTTGGCCTTCTATTGGGCTTAATTTTATTTATTATACATTATTTGAGATTTTGGCCATTTTGTGAAAAAAATCATAGTTGTTAGAATTTTTTGAATTACTATTATTGAAATTAATTCCCAATTTTGCATAGCACATGAAATTATTTTGGATATACATAATTTATACCAATAAGTTCATTTTAACTTTTTAGGACATAGAAGTACAACTAATGAAATTTTATGGTGGAGATTAATTTTAGGCTCCAAGAGATATTTAAGGATGAAGGTTTTGGTAAACATTTTTAAAGATAAGTTCATTAAGGGTAAATTATGATGACTTGGATCTCCTCTATATTTACTTAACCCTTTCTACCGTTAGATTAATTTTTCTATTTTTCACTCAATCATCATTCATCACCCTAGCCGCTACCCCTCTTCCCTACTCTTCTTTTCTTTTTCAAAAATCATCATTGTAACACTCACCAAATTGCATGAATACACAGCTTACTATCATAGTAATAAAAAATTAAACGTACAAAAGGATTGTCATCATAGAAATAATTAATGATAATTACAAAGTATTATAGTTGAAAATGAAAAAAATTGAATCACTCAAATTTTTGTACAATTGAAAAGAAACAAACTACCTTTTTTCTACAAATACAAAACCACTCTACCATAGTTTAAAAAAAAAAATTCTAATGTATGGTAGATAGGCATTTGCTTTCTTGAAAATAAGATATAACAATCAATGTTTGCATTAAGTATAATGTTACTACAATTTAATTACTTCAAACGTAAAATTATTATGATAAAGAATTTAAAACATTTGATGTTTTTACAAAAAAAAAATAATTTATGAACAAAAATAGATCTTAACTTTTTAGTTAAAAAGAAATAAAATATTCAATATAATACTACGATAGGAAAGAAAGGAATTTACTAATATCAATAACTAATTATTACAACAAATCATGATAGAATGTCTACCATGATTAAAAAAACCTATGCCTTAAGTAAAGTAATCACAACAACAGATGGGCTTGTGAGCTTTGAGGCCCATAATATTGTCTTGCCAATCCCAAAAGATGCGATGTGATCTTACGGATAACGTTTTAAGTGGGCTCTACACCGTATACACCGCAACCAGAATATCAATTTTTAACAAGACTCATGGTTATATTATATTAGTCTTTGGGCTAAAATATTACTCCTAATAGCCCCACCATTTTAGAATTTTTTTCTTGGAAAACCCTTTCTTTGGGAAAGTATTCTCGGCGATATTAATTTTTGGCAGAGAGGGAGGAAAATTCGAACCAGTAGTAGTTATCAATCTCTTGCTCAGGTCAGTCTTCTATGTATAGAATTAACATTAAAGATTGACTTTTGTTTTAACATTTTTATTTCTTTAATTATTTGAGGTTTTACCCATTTAAAAATTATTTTCTTGCCAATTATTTTAGTTATTGTTCCTTTATTGCTAGCTTTAAATGGTAATATTTGCTCTAAAAAGGTGTGTTTAAAATGGTTGGTTTGCACAAAGTTTTAACCAATATAAATATGCTTTTAAAACATATTCCTTGGTTATAGATATGAGCATTTGTTAATTTATACTATATATCTAACTTAGAATTATTGGTTGTTCATTTTTTTTTTCATATTTTTTTATAATATTTTGTTAAAATTTATCCTTTTTGTATAAAATTCATATCTGCTCTTGAGTCAATCAAAACTATTATAGTTCTAGAAAACTCTTGATTTACAACTAAATTAAGTTGATAGTACCATTCTCTGTAAGTTAATTGAGATACTACACTAGTGTATCTATTTTGGTCTATTTCTATTGGTATTTCACTAATATCTTCATCATCCTTTATTTCTATTTCTTTGCTTATTTCATTAGTTTTTATAATAGCATTTATTTGTAAGAATTCTAAATCTCTGTAAATTTCATTTCATTCTTTAATCTCTTGTTTTATTTGCTTTATTTGTTTTTGTAATTCCTTTATTTCTACTGTTTACTATTTTCTGCTTCAAAGTTCTTTAAGATATCTTTTATGCTTATTGGATCTTTACAAGTTTGAGGTTTCTCTTCTTTATCTAAAATATCTTTAATTTTTAGTAAGTATTGCCTTTTAATTTCTTCATCTTAGGTTTTATCTATAATTTCTACTAAAAACTTTAAGTTTTCTCTCTCTATCTAAGGTATTTATTCTAAACTTTTCTATATAACTATAAATTTCTTTTTCTAAACAATCTTCTTCATATTCATTTGAAAATGATGATTCACTATTACTATCTATTTCTTAATATTTAGAATTTTTTCTATTTCTTCATTCTTCTTTTTCTGAAGGATATTCTTTTTCAGATTTAGAATTACTTTCTATCATAATTCTTAACAAATTTTATTTATTTTCTTCACTTATCTGTAGTTCTCTAATTTTTTTTATTTTACACTTATCGGAATAATATCCAAATCTTTTACATTTATAACAAACTATATTCTTTTTATCTTTTCTATCCTTTTGGAAAGATTTTTTGTTTTTCTTAATACTTTTCCTATATTTCTGAGGAAAATATTGTTTATTCTTTCTATATTTCTTATAGGGTATTTGCATATAATTTTTCTTTTTATTTTTTTTAGATGGAGCTTGGATTTTCTCAAATTCATATTGCTTATAAAAGTTTCCTAACTCTAATCTTCCTTGTGTTGTATCTTTATATATTTTCTTTTTGCATTTTTATTTCATTACACAATTTTAATCCTCTAATATTTATCATATTAATTATTGCACTATAGACTATTGTTCCTGTACCTCTTAAGGAGAATTACTTATACTATTTAAAACAACTTAAACACTACCATGATAGGATATAATTGACCTTAATAAAACAGTTTCTGTACTCAATACAACCTATTAAAAACTTGTACTGGATTTATGAAAATATTGCGCTGCAGAATAACATGTGGGCTAGGGCATATAATAATAAGTTATTCATTATTGATTTTTTTAAAAAATAAAAAAGAATGAAAATGAAAATAATTATTAGAACTCATATGTAATGAAATATAATAATCATAATAATAACCTAATAGCATGTATTGGTCCCTATAATTTTAATATATTTTGACATAGGTTCCTATAATTTTCTTTCATTGCACTGGAATGTTAGTTCTTATATTTTTAAATATATCTATAAGAACAATGAGATGAGCCATAGTGTTAAATATGTTGAACTGTGGCGAACAAATGTTAAGGTGAAATTATGATGTTTAGAATTATCCATTTTTTTAACATCTATCAAGCATAAGTATGCTACGACATATATTAAACAAAAAGTAAAATTTATTAAATAATAGATAACGTGAAAAAGTAATAACAATATTGTTTTATATTAACAATATTATATATTATCATTCATTTAGCATATTTTGTGGGTCCATAACTGTCAATTATTAATTAAACTAAAGAATTTATTGCTCAATAGTTTCAGGAAAAAGGATAATAATTCACTTAAATTTCTCCATTGCTAAAATATTTCAAAATACTCTATATATGATGACCTATTTAAATAGAGTCGGTAATTTCTACGAAAAAAAAAGAGTTGATAATTTTTTGAAATTTATCAACAAAACCACTTGGCCACAAAAATGTTTATTTTTCAAACATTTTATATTACAAACCAATTAAAATTAAAGTTAATTCATATACTATAAAATAAGGGGAATGGATCATTTGAAGTTAAAAATCTGTAAATTTCATGAAGTTTTTCTTTTTTAAAACATAAGAAATATTTAATATTTTATAAAAACAATAAAATATAAAATGTAAAAAAACTCATGAATTTAAGCTTCCGAAAATTTGTTGCCTAAAATATGTGCGTGAGGCCTGAGAGATGTATTGTGCCTATTTTGCTTCATCAGTTTATCCGTTCCTTTCTCCTGAAATTGCAAAATTCAAATATTTGCATA